AAATACACGTATACAAAAATGATCTTAATGCGGTTGGGTCACCACCACACACGACCGTTGCCTAAGGGCACCTGGGAGTTCACGGTCGTCGCCGAATTATAGACATATATTCATGATATAAATATAAATAGTATTTATGTACCTACGCTTGATTTTTTTGATTTTTCTTTGAACGATCGCCCCGAGGACTGAATTCCGTGGAAAAAAATCGTCGGGTGGCCGCATTTTACTATACACATACTGTTGCTACTGCGTTTCGAGGGATCGACTTGCATTAAATATATAATATTTTTATTCATATGTTGTATGTAAGCGATCATGGGTAAGGCCCGATACGAACCCATTACTACTACTTTCACCTTGACGCGTACGCTACTGCTCGCACGCGCGTTTATCACCGAATCCGCGGTATACGGGGTTTTATAACCTAGGGCAGTGTTTGCCAACATTTATAATAAGGCGGCTCATAAATATCCATTGTGTTGGGTAAGGGACACGCTTAAGAAAAAAAACCTACTATGCTTTAATATAATTATATAATTAATCGTTTTATCATTTATTATTTATTATGTACTTAAACGCAATACTGCAAAACCGAATTGTTATACTTATATATATTATATTTCGATAGCTGGGATATTTTTCTTCGCGTTGGAACAGCGATCTATAGTTTGAAAAAACGCTGACCTATCATCAATTAACGAACAGGATTTTTGTGGACTCTGACGGTTATTATTTACGTGCGTACATTTGCATTAGCGAAACTCGAAATAATAAGAAGCTCGTTAAAACTAAAAGTGTAATTTTTCGCATTAAACTAATACATATTTTATGTTGATAAAGTCATTAAAAGTGTTTCGGACCACGGGAAATTTTAAAACAAACCCCTATGGAAATCAGTTACCGACCCCGTCTACAATTCAGGTATACCCGAGTACAAGGCAAAGTACGTGTTATTATAATACATAACGCTACTGCGATTGGTCACGTATACGAAACGATTAACCCGTCTAGACGTAGTGCGCACGCGTGCGTGGTAGAACGTATGATAATATAATATTACGTGTGTACAATGCACGCGCACCTGCAGTGTACTGTACCGCATTTCTATTATTATTTTTTATTATTGATGTTATTATTTCAGTATAATATTACAATACGCTGTGCACTGCGTACGCGGTTAGGTGGTGGCGGGAAATCTGAGGGAACAAACGTTTAACGAGGAAAACGGCGGGTGAACGTGTTGATCCGTCGTGGGTGTGATGAAATTTTTCCACCATCGACGACCTCCGTCGGCAACAAGGAAAAATGCTAATGACAGCGTTAACGCGTTCGACCGATTTGGCTCATGGAGGTCGCTGAGTCGCGGTCCGCTGAGCAATCCAACACCGTAAAGTGTCGTACAATGATTTTTTTCTGATCAAATTTTCCGACTTCAATGCACAGAACAGTATACAATTCATATGTGATGCGTTTTACCTATTCGAAAACGTACCTAAAATCGAAATAAATATTGAGCGTACAGTATTTTTTTTTTTCCATAATGCAATCCGGGCCTGCGTGGGGACATAATATAGTACTCAGCTAAGTTATTGTGTCCAGTGCATTTTCGTGGGATGGTTCTGTCGTCCGATTTAATTATAATCTCCATTGCAAGCGTGCACGAACGGAAAGTTGCCAACACTTTTTACGTTTAACATATTATCATTTTAGCCGTAATTTTTCGGAGACCCATAATGTTGCAAAATTATTTGTATATTCACCCTGTGCTTGGCCGAGGGATCAAGAACTCTTCTCTATATTGTAGGCTGGTTAGTTGCCAGCTGCGTCCCTCGGAAACTTTGTCCCTTGAACAGCATTTAAGCCAACGAGTGCGCGTGTTGTGTGTTTTAATGTTGTTTAATGTATTATGTACATTATGTATGGAATTAAATAGTTTGATAATTAAGCGCGAGCTACTGCTACAACAATCGGCAGGAAATAACTAATAAACCTAGTTTGATTTCAAGATATTTAACTGATTTACATTATCGTTATTATTATTATTATTACACCGAAAAGTTAATGTCTAGTTAAACGAAACACCGGTCACGGGTGGTACCTGACAGAATAATACAATATTTTTAATAAAATACCGAGAGTTGATTTATTTCAATTTTAATAATATATTTTATTATATTTTATCGTAAAATCAGATTTTTTTCTAACTTCGCGTATACGTGTTGTTTTTAAATAATTACTTAATTGGCTTTAACTTATTATACTTCGTGTTTTCGCTGACTGCAATGTAATTATTTTATCGTTTATACATTATTCATTATATTATCATCATAGGGCTGTTGAAAACATAAATTTATAGACCATTAAAATCGTATTTATTAGTTTCGTTTGAATTATTATAGAGTACATATACAGAGTACATCGTAATATATTTAATGATTTATGATTTTTCAAAAGTGTTCTGTAAATTATCGTAAACAATCACTTTCAAGTGCGATGTATATTAATCGTAAAATAGAAATTTTTCATCTAGCTTGTTATCATGAATTTATTATAATTCAATATCCGTTGGTTTCTGTCACCGAGGTGAATTCAACCTTGTGACACAAATAAGGAGAGAATATCTTTATTATTGTGTATGCATATACTTTTGTGTTGTGAAACACTATAGGTACATAATTGCACTGGGCTGTCGCCGTCCTCTAAGCCATAAATTATTTTGACAAATTATTGAAATTCACCAGTCTCAGATTCGTAAATGTATTTATTATACAGTCTTTTCACAGAGATGATGACACCAGACATTTTCTAGTACGTCTAGAATCTAAAGAATCGCATTATGATAAACACTGAACTATAGTTGGTCATTAGCAACACGCTATATAATATTATGTGCCAATTGGATCCAGGCTCAAACTTCAACTGGCACTTTAAACCGTTGTGCTTATATTATACAAAAAACGAAGTTTCGACCTAGTTTAAAATGAAATTAAAACAAAAATTAAGACCAATATCCTATTCTAGTTCTTAAAAATAAGTTAATAATCTAATGTTTTTTTTTTTTTTAATCGTTTAAATAAATTATACACGTCGTTGTAAAAAACTTTAGAGTGAAATATAAATCATATTTATGAAATGTTAAAACCAACATAAACGTTACAGGTGTAATAGAACAAGGTCGTGGGAAAAAGTATTTTAATATGTATTTTTTCGAACATTGGAAATTAGAAATATGATAAATCGAGATTTTATATTGTTTGATTGAGTTTATGATATTGGAAAGAAATCGCAGTTCATTATTCGAATCGTGGTTCAGTGATGTATGAAAAGTAGTTATTTGTCCATTTACAAATCGTGATGAAAAGTATACTCGTACAACGATCAAAACGTCTGTTGTTTTGTACCTTATCGAAACGTGTATGGACAGCTTTCTATTCAGGTTTGATTATTTGTTGACCATCCAATAATAATTTTAAGTTTAGTCCCATACTATTAAATGTATACCAATATTTAGGAAATCAAATCACGTGTTAGTGACAATTAATATTTTACGCCCAAATTAGTGTTTCTTAACTTCCTATCAATGATGATTTAACTAAGTAATCAAGTAAATTAATAATAGAAACTGGTATAAGTTTTATAATTCAATGTGTCGATAAAATTATATATGTTTAGGTATATTATTATTTTATGCCCACTCTACTGGTCACTTAACCAACAAAAACGTGTCCTTTGATATATGGGTATCTACTTATACACGTTACAGAAGTAACATGAGAATGATAACAAATCAGTGGTATTTAAATCAAGTTAAATTCATGTTAGTTATGTTATTTATATATGGTACAGTAGAGTTTGTATATACATGAAGTAATTCAATGTCACAATAATTATAGTACGGTAATTTATATACTGATATTGATAGAATAACGTTTTGTAAGTTACAAAGGATCCATGTATTTTTAAATATTATAATTTATTTATTACCAGATTTTTAACCGATCGATGAGTCAGTTTGACGTTAAATTTTACAAATAATAATTTCGTATTTAATTTCTAGTAAATTATAAAATCAACGTAGTTCGTTGAAGTTTATTTCAAACGAATCTTTGAATCATGACAGTTGTGTACCTGATTTTCAAAATCGTATAAATGCCACGTTGACTTTTTTTTCATACTCGTCATAACGGTTGAGAATTTATAATCATGTTTACACAATATGAATAGTGCAAAGGTACTATAAATGCGTATTTATAGTAGTATATTTATAGTAGTGGTTATACGTACCCTTCTTAAGAAACTGGCCAAAGGTAAAAAAATACTTTTTCACCTCGTAAAAGTTTCTCTTTCCTCTTTATAGTCCACAATATATATGTACTCTTTTAGATAAGCGAGCCGCGCCTTTCACTGTTTCTATGCGAAGCCTGTGCATATATCACTGTTATTAACGTAAAAACCTTACGTATAACACTCATATTACAAAGTTCTGTAAAAATGTCCTGTTTTTTAAGTTCTACGGTACGTTGTAGGCCGGCAAAATGTTCATATAGGATTCTCATTATTTCTTTGTCTTTTTCCGTTCGGAATTTACAAGATATCAACGTAAAGTAATATTTGAAGACCAACTGTAAAGCAATAACAATACTGAAATACATCATAAGGGTATTCTACTTATGGTTTTATCGTTGTAATACAATGAAATGTGTATTTTTAGACAAATTATAGCGATAAGTCTTATGAAACGTGTTGATTTTTATTATTTTTTCACTCGTATAAATTATAATATTTTAATTTTGTGCGAACAGTATTGTTTGCTCTTGTTCACCTATTCGTTGTGTTCCGAGAAGTGTTTTAATTGGTTTGATTTCCGTCCGAAGGACGCGTTCTTAACGGGAAATAAAACAACGAATTAGGCAGACAATAATGATTGCGAACGCGCGCGACTATAGCCGAAGAAAAATCGGAATGATATTGACCTCGAACATGTGTTTTCCGCGCAGGTGTGACATGGTAATTGCGTCTGCGGAAATCTGACTGGTCACGGGGAGAACCACGCGGATATGTCGTCGACCAGCGGCGGTGACACTACGCTCGAACCAGACAATTCGGTAACCACCGTGTACAACGGTGACAGAACCGCTGCCGGGACAGGCCACCGCGTGTCGCCACCTTCCTCTTCGTACGCCGACAGCGGTCTAGATATGTCCAACACAGAATCGTCCGCCGGTGACGCTAAACTCATCATAGACGTGCCCGACTTTTCCAAAGGTGAAAACACTTTTTTTTTTTTTTAATTTTTTATTTATTTTTTTTCTTCGTTTGAAAGAATTGTTTACATTCCGCGTTAGATATCGTATGAAACCGTAAGTACAGTTTATGCATAAGTGATTTATATATTTTACGTTAATATCTTCTGGACGATAAACTAAACGGCACCTTGAAATTCAATTCAATTGTTCGATATCATTATTTGTTTATGTTTTGAGTAGATATCTAGAACAGTTACGTTTGAGACGACATTAGATATTTATTTGGAGATAAACGGAGAGCGCATTATTGATGAGAGTATTTGGATGGTTTGGTAGTCTAAAGCGGAATCTTTCGGAACGATTTTTGGCGATTGTTCAGTGATTGTGGGTAGTTGGAAATCTTTGCGCAAGGATTTGTTCGTAACAAATCATGTGCTCCATTTATGATTACTTATAGTTCTATTATTATACCTAATATTATATTTTAATTCGTAATAATAATTACTATATCCGTAATATTAATTTATTGTATTTTATGAATTATTCTAATTATTTGTTCGAGGTTATAATAATAACAATATGAATATAACCAACTTCATCAAAATATTAATTTAAAGTGCAAATGTAATTTATTAGAATTTTGTTTTCTATAGAAATGGAAACTCCTCGGACTGGCATTGACAATCCGAGCTTTGAGACTGATAAAACTGACGTACCTAAACCACTAACTAACGGGCATAATGGTACTGTTAATCAAGAAAATGGTAGGCTTGAAAAGGATAAAATGGCTGAAGCTGTGAATTTAGAATTAATCAACATGAAACCGTTTGCTAAAAGTGTCAACGGTACGGGAAATGGTGTTCCTACAAAGAAGAAAGAAACCGGTGTTAATATGAATGATACGTACGACGATTATTTCATCCCTGTGAACGAACATAAAAAATACATGAGGTTTGTGTTTTGACTTGTGACGTAATATCGTGAAAATTGAATTTAAATTTAAATTAACCGTTTTTTTCCCGCAATTATTTTAACATATATATTTTCAGGGGTGGAGAAAAGCTGTATGTAACCAAAGACAAACGTGATATGAATCAATCCAGAAAACCATTCATGTGTTGGGTATTCGGCTTAGTTTTATTGGGTGCTGCTGTTATAATTGCGATTTTAGCTTCAAGTGAGTAGAATCAATTTTAAATTTTTATTATTATTACAGTCATTATCTTATATAAACTTGTGTATTATTTGTATTAATTTCTTAAATTGTTTATTGTATTATGTTTAAACTATTATATAGGACTCAGTTTTTTAAGAAAGATAAATAAATATATAAATAAATAAATTGTAAAACGTCAGGCTCTGATTGCGTAAATTTTGCAGCTGGTTTTATTTTCAATAATGATGCAGCAGTGGAAAGTCGAAATTTTGGGGAAAATGAAAAACTAGCTGGGTTTGGTACTCACCATGCTCACCCTTCCTCGGTTAGCCCGCCACCTAGTGTAGATAATTCAGGTCCGTTCAACCCACCGACTACCGACATGTCGGGGGTATTTGTACCCAGAACCTTACAAGGAGAGATTGTTATCGACAATATGGAATTTACACCAGGAATGTCCAATAAATCGTCTGCAGAATTTCAGACATTAGCTAGTTCAATAGAGAGTGAAGTAATATATTTTATTTAATACAAACTACGATACGATATCGTACAATTGTTCAATGATAAAATATGTTTTCAGCTCAAAACAGCTATATTTAAAGAACAAACATTAAATGGTGCTTCGGATGGAATACATGTGAAAGTCATTGAATTTTCGTTAGTATTAATAACTATTATTAATTGAAAATGTATAATATAAATGTATGATTACGTTATAGTTCCGGAAGTGTTGTCGCCAAGTATAGAGTAGGCTGGGAGTATAAAGATGATAGCGAACCACAGGATCTTATTGATGCCGCAACTCTTAAAGCTCGATTAGATTCTTATTTACGAGAATATAATGGATTTTTATACAATTATAGAATTCCAATCCATAGACTGCGTTCAGACCGTAAGTATAAATTCATACTAACTGTGTAACAAATATTATAATTGCACCATTATTTTTATAGCTATTATGGATAAATGTAAAACCGAAAACGGAAAATGTTCCCATTACTGTTCTTATGATTACATAAGCTTAGATTTTGTATGTTCATGTCCGCCTGAACTTACCATAAGTGAGAATATGAAAGACTGCAAACGGATCGGTAAGTGTATATGAATCAAAACTTAGTCAAACTTTATTATTTATTTATTTTTAATTTAGATGATACTCATGCAATGGATGATGTTATGATAACTAAAAGTGACGATGAAAATATTGATGAAAAACCATTTGATTATTTTTCTGAGAATGAGCATAGTTCAGTACCAACACCAAATTCGGAACCAGAACCAAGTTCAGAACCTGATTCAAAATCTGAACCAGAACCAAATTCAGACTCTGAACCAAAATCTGAACCAGAACCCAGTTCGGAACCTAAATCAAAATCTGAACCGGAACCCAGTTCAGAACCTGAATCAAAATCTGAACCGGAACCAAGTCCAGAACCTGAATCAAAATCCGAACCAGAACCCAGTTCAGAACCTGAAGTAAAAGCAGAACCAGTGCCTAATTCAGAAACAGAAGTTCAAGCAGAACATGAAGCAAACTCTGAAACAGCATTTAATCCAATTCCGGTTAAGACTGAACAAGAATCTATTTCAGAACCAGTGCCTAGTTCAGAACCTGCGTCTAAAGTAGAACCTGAACCTAGTTCAGAACCTGCGCCTAAGACGGAAACAGAACCTATTTCAGAACCTGGGCCTAAGGTGGAACCAGAACCTGTGTCTAAGACGGAACCTGAACCTAGTTCGGATCTTACGTCTAAATTGGAACCTGAACCTAGTTCAGAACCTGCATCTAAGGCGGAACCTGAACCTAGTTCAGAACCTGCCTCCAAGGCGGAACCTGTACCTAGTTCAGAACCTACGTCTAAGGATCCATTTGAACATATCTCGGAACCTACAACTAAGGAGGAACCTGAACCTAGTTCAGAACCTGCATCTAAAGTGGAACCAGAATCTACTTCAGAACCAGCGACTAAGGCAGAACCTGAACCAAGTTCAGAACCTGAAGTTAAGCCAAGTTTAGAATCTCATAGACCAGAACCAGAACCTAGTTCAGAACCAAATTCTAAATCAAGTACAATGGAAATGTATGAATCTTTGTCAGATGTTGATATAAGCTCTGAATTTGATACTTCTGATCAAAATAACAAAGCACCAGTTGACACTTCCTCAGAAAAATCAATTTTGAATATAGATCAAACTGATAGAGAAGCAAAATCACATTCAGAAGAAGTTTTTAATCATGAAATTAAACCTGAAATCACTTACACTGTATCAACTGAGTCTGAGTTCGAAACTAAGACTGAAGTGTCCGTAAAAGACTCTAAACCGAAGGAGTCTAATGAATTTGCATTGGTTGATGTTGATTTAAATGTTCCAGAACAATCTTCTACGTTACCATCAATAACTGAAAACTGGTTAATAACTACACAATCTAGTAACATTCAAGGTGTACCAAAATTACCAAGTGATTTAGAAGTGACAGATAAAGAAAATGGAGATGTAGAAAAAGAAATGGAAATCGAAAATGCTACTTCTTTAAACCCTGAACAAACCGAATTCAAATCCGAATCTAGCACTATTATGGGTATTGTACAAACTGAATTAAAATCTGAAAATAAATCTGTGGATCCAATATCAGAATCTAACATTAAAATGTCATCAGAATTCACAACTACATTGCCTGGACAATCTACTTTCGATAACTTCAAAGATGTACCTAGTATGGTCACTGAAGCAACAATAGATGCAAGTTCAAGTAGTATAGAAGATATGAGTTCTTCTACTAAAGGATTAGATAATATATCGGTAGAACATGTTACGGAATTTATGGATATAACCACTATGCTTTCAATAATAGAACAAATGCCGATTAAAAAACAAGAAGAACCTCAAAATTCAGAAGATTTAATTAAATTATCAGGTAAAAAACATTCTGACGATTTGTCATCTTTAGACAAAATTAACATACCTGACCCAACTAAAAAGTTACAGTCATTAACATCATTAGAAGAACAGATCATTAATTTACCCTTTACTGATGTTACATCATCGACACCTAGCAATATCGATAATTTAAATGAAAATGTTTCTATTGACCAGCACGAATCATTAGATCAAATTAGAACAAGTGTTGGTGAACAAAACATCGCAGATATTGTTGGTGAAGATGAAAAGACAAGTGTTTTAGATTTATACCAGAAACCTGAATTGAAAAAAAAAGAAAAGAAAACGTCCAAAAATCCTGATTTGTACGTAACTGATACAGGATATACAAAAAGGAATAAAACAAAAACAGAAAAAGAAAATAAAAAAAATAATAAACCTGATTTCATGGATGTTATGCCAGGGATGATGAATTTAGATAAATGTGAAGAAGGCCAGTTCCAGTGTGTAAACAGCACGACCAAAGATGGATCATATTGTATAAAAATATCGTCAAAATGTGATACAAACAAAGATTGCATTGATAATTCCGATGAATACGATTGTGTAGAAAACGCATGCTCAGGAAATTTCCTGGTAATAATTTATTACAATATATTGTTCATATTATTTTAATTATATGTCAGCACTTATTTATATTATTGTATTGATTAGTGCAAAAGTGGAGAATGTTTACAAAGAAATTTGGTTTGCAATAACATTATGGATTGTGAAGACGGAAGCGACGAGCAGTCTTGTGGTTAGTATTTTTACATTATACATAATAATTGGATATTGAACAATGTTAATTTGTCAAGTCTTAATATCATTAAACTATAACTTATTTGATGTAATGACGTTTGTTTCATTTACATATGTTAGATTTATGGAAATGTGGCGATGATGAGAAACAATGCTCCAATGGTCAATGTTTACCTGCGTCCTATTTCTGCGATGGCAAAGCTGATTGTATCGATCATTCTGATGAACTTCAATGCAATAGTAATATATTTATTTCATGAATACCAATAAGATATCGCCATCACGTTTTACGAAAACTTGCTTGTCTTTCCAGGTACTTGTGACGGCTATCGATGTGCCGACGGTTACTGCATATCGAGTGCATTGCAGTGCAATGGTGTAAATGATTGCACTAGCGGCGAGGATGAACAAAACTGTGGTACGTTTATATAGAAATAGGTTTACTGTAATGAACTGATTCGAGTGCAAACACATTGCAAATTTCATGTTATAACACTGATTTGTGTGTTAAGTATACCGTGTTTTAATCTTAAAAATAAAGCTGAAATATCGTAACGTTTGGAATTTAACCGAAGACTTTCTCACAAAATATCGATATCATTTTATGGTTTAAGTAATAAAACAGAAAACATTAACTTGATCATGAAATTAATCTTTACAAATTTAACATTTGCATGGGTTCGTTTCAGAATGTGGTATCGACGAATTTAAGTGCAATACGAGTTCACAATGTATACCAAAAGCACAAAGGTGTGACAGCATAGCGCAATGCGTAGATAGGAGTGATGAATGGCAATGTGTTCAATTGGATGGCACTCAACTTCTCGCAAAGTATGAATGCGGCGGTTTTGAATTCATCATTTCGTTACCTGTTCATGTAAAATGTATTAACTTTTATACATACTTTTTTATTTACTAAACAGAAGGGAAGGCGAAACCGCTTTGAAAGTATGTAGCACTAACTGGTCAAACCAATGGAGTGACTTGGTGTGTCAGAGTCTCGGTTTTACCGATACAAAGTCAACCAATTTTAGACCAAACGAACCAGCTGAAAACGTTGAAATCAACTATCTCAAGTTAAAAGATAATTCGACTTTGAACAGTTCTAAAAGTTTGACGGCGTTCCTTGAGCCAACTAACGCCCAGTGCGAGACGGTTGAGATAAAATGTTCTTCTAAACACCGTAAGACTTGAAATTTTATACTTAAGTTTTCGGAAAAATTGTTTTCACATTGTTTTCAATAGTTTGTGGAGATTTCGGTGGTAAAGATCCGCTATCGATGGAAATGTGGCCATCCGTTGTCTACTTGCATAACACCAAAACCCACAAGTCCTGTACGTCCAGTCTGGTAAAACGTAATTGGTTGTTATCGTCGTACAGTTGCTTGCATTCCATGTAAGTTATTTTAACGCCAAAAACGAACCACTGCCCGCGGTGGTAATTATTTTTCGTTAAATTAATTTGCATTATTATAATTATTATTTTAGTGACGAGTCGCTATCTGCCGATCAATGGGAAGCGGTATCGAGCAAAACTCGCGTAGTCAACGAGTCGAGTTTGACCAAAAGATCCGTGTCCAGGATAATCATTCATCCTGGAGTTAAATTCGAAAAAATACGTTATTTGAACGATACAGTTTTGATTCAACTCAGTGCACCATACGACTTATCGGACGAAGTCAATACCATTTGTCTACCCGAGCAAATTGTCGACAACAAGCAACCGTGCGTCATAGCCAGTTGGTCTTACGAGACACCGGGAGGTAAATTCGATAATTGATTTTTGATAATTTTATATTACGGTGTAATGTAATTGCATTAATTTAAATATTTTGAGTTTATATGGTTTTCTTCCTTTATCGTCCATTAGTAGATTGTAATAAAAATCATGTCGGTTTTTTATGATTACAGTTTTCAAACAGTTTTCACGCTCTTTGTCCGAACCGTTAATGCAAACGGATGTATGCAACTCGACAAAAAACTTTAATGGTCTTCTAACAGAACGAGATATTTGTGTTGCTCCGGGAGAAATAGAAACCACCAATGTAAGTGTTATTCATAAGCAATTAGCGATACACGTGTACAGCTTTTTTAAAAACGGAAAAACTCCAATTGTGTATGTAAATATGCTTTAAACGGCGGTAGGTTAGCTTTACACATAAACAGTAAAAATTTATTAATAAAAGAAAAAATTGAAATAAATGATAAAAATTTTATGTAAGAATTTTAAATCACGAAGAAACATTTCACAACACATACAACCCTATATATGATATAGATTCTGAAAATAAACTATTGAATAATTTATGATAAACGTTGGTTATTTCCAAATATTAAATTAAGCATTTTTCTTCATAGTCCATAATAAAGTATGTGTATACATAATATCCACGAAGCAATCAATAAAATATTTGTTCTATGTAATTTTCGAATATATAAGATTGAAACAGTTTGATGTAAAATGTATGCGTATGCTTTTTGATCATTATGCAGAATCGTTTGAATATCTGTAAAAAAAAATTGTTTTGATATATTGGACTTGTTAAATATATCGTATAATTAAATTGATCGAACACTGAAGCATTTATGAATTCCGTTTCGATTGAAATCTTAAAGTTAGACATTGAATTGTTATTTAATTAAAGATGTGCATATTCAGTATTATAGATGGAGTCAATCTATTAATTTAATATATACGTGAGCATTTAAAAAAGTATATTATTGATTTCGATTAAATTAACAGTCCACACGATCTACTAAATTAAAATTTGTTCATTTTTATTTTTTTTATTATTCGAAAAAAAATGTAAAAATCGATTTAATAACAATGGTTTTGTGTATTCAACATTTCTTTGTATAATAAATAATATTTCTCAGGCATATTAATCTAAAGCATTATAATTAAAAAAAATAAAATTAGTTTCTACACCATTCCAATTCGAACTTTTGATTATAACGTTAATCTGACTATAAAAAAGTTACATATTTTTATTAATTTCATTTTATTCTTTTTTTAATTTTCTTTTATTAAAATATCTTCAACCTATGGTTAATATATAACTTTCATAAAATTATACAATCATCTTTTATCTTTTTTTTCGAAATTCTTAATGAAAACGTGGATTTAAATTGTTGAGAAAAACTATTATGGAAGTAACACCTTAAAAAACTATTCTACCACATATTGTTGGGCAGAAATTTTATTAACTTTTAGTTATAACGGTGTTCATCGATAAATGAATAGTTAACATTTACAAAATATTGTACAAAGTGCTTATAATTAATATCTATCAAAGTCTGTTTCGATTGAGAACACAACAGAGTTAATTGAGTAAATTGAGGGAGGTCATATCTTAGAAACTATTAGTCTCGTGATGACTTAAGTGTTTTTTTTTTTTTTTTTTAGGAAAATATATTTGAGTTGTAATTGTAGAAAATTTTGAAATTGAATAAAAGATATGATTTTAAGATAGGGCCAAATGAACATGTATAATGTGAAAAATCTTTTGTTTTACCCATGGTCATAGCCGAAAAAAAATTAATTATAATATTATTATTTTTATTGCAAGTTATTTCACAAATGTATGATATAAATATTTTTTTGTGTTTATTTTATAAACAATGATAGGTATGGTTTTACAATTAATATGTATATATTTTATATACGTATAGTATATGTTCTGCAATGTCTGTTTAATAATTTCCCTAAACAAAAATCATTCCGAATCCACCCCTTTGTGTCACACTGTAAAGCTTGAAAAAATATCAAATCTTTTAGTTTTGGCTATTTATAAACTTTATTTTCTCAGAATAGTTTTATCGTTTGCCGATTTACAGTTACCGTGCGACAACGTAAGAATTATTTGAAACAACAGCAAAGCACTATAATTCGCGACGGGGTGGACGAAATGAGACGATCGCTTAACGTAATGGAACAACCGGCTATCGGCTTTTTTTTTCTCATCATGCCCCGCACACAATCGTTACAACGGTACACAATAATGCTAAGGTCCTAGAAATTCGTAAAGGGTTCATACGTTTGTGCCAATGTTGCAATTATTTTTCTACTCACGAGAACAAGACGAAACAAAAAGTAAAATAATATTGCAACGAAAATACACTTCTATATTTAGCGTTTTGTTGTCGGATAATTATAGAGTAATCGATTCTTATAATTTATAATTATTCCAAATTTTGTTCTTTTTATTATAATAAAAATTAATTTTTATCATTAAAAAAACAAACAAAACTTTAAAACAAAATAATTTTTTTACGAGTTCTCTCTGGCACTTTTTTTTATCCAATAAGGGTCTGGTATACAAAAAAAGGTTAAGTATTCTTCGAAAAATAGTGTGTGTCGTTAATACTCATGCCACGCATAATACAATAATGGTGTATGTATGCGGTAGACTAACGACGGCGCTTGTCATAGGTCTGCAGTCATTATTTTTACGATGTATAGGTATATACGAGTATATGTATACAAGAAAGCGCGAGCCCCGACGATCGTCTCGATTATTTTTAATAGTTAAACCTCAATAAAAACGCAACTGTCATTTTCGTACAGTAGGCAGTCGTCTATTCAACTGAAAATCGCAAAATTTCCAGTGTATAGTGAAATATCATTAGTATAGAACGGATTAATGTGCATAAAAATACACTTAAAATACTTTAATATTGTAAAAAATGTACTTTATTTTTAAGCATGCAATTAAAATTTAATATGATTGAAGAAATTAATTTTATTAGGTATTATACTATGGAAAAAGACGGTGTATGGGAAATTAATTATTGTTTTTTTGTTATCGTCACCAATAACAGACTAAATTTTTACTGATAATATTATTAATTTAAGACGGTCTACAAACATGTGCACTCATTTGAAAATATCTAATTCGTAATCGAGTTCATTTTTAACCATTAACCTTATTGTATTTAATTATTAAAAAAAAAAAAAATGTATTCTAAATAAAAATAATTATCTTTTAAATCAAAAATGCATGCATTAGGTAACTGTTCAAAATATGTAAAATAAAATCGGTGTTATTTTAATAAGAATGTTTGAAATTATTTCAAATAACTTATTTTTATAAATATAAGCACTTTGCATATGTAATTATACAAATCCATCATTTATTACTTGTGTTATATAATAAAATGGATTATTTTATTGTCCCTATGTAATGGAGGTTTTACCAATTAACATTACACGTTGTGCTATCTGTTATTATTTTTATATTAGTTATTAATTGTAATTTTTATTTTTTGCTGTTTTTCAATCTCGTTCCCGTGCCACTCAGATGGAAATCGGTTCGACGTTAATGTGTTTGGCGGAGAACGGATTGTGGCAGTTGCAGGGTGTGCTCAGTTACCGAGGCGGTTATGGCCGGTCATCCAAACCGTCGCTGTACAACGCCATTGTGGACGCAGTGCCATGGGCGGAGAATACCATCGCGTCCGGCGTCTGACGGCATATATAAAGTTTAAATTTTTATTTACATATGTATTATCGGAAGCTATTATCGTTTCCTCGGTATTATCCCTTTAACCCCGTCCCCCTACATCTAAATATCACCACTGGAAACGTGTTTTCCCTCAGCCCCGGAAGGTCGTACAATAACATAGTTTTTCTAGCTTATAAGTATTCCACAGCGGACGAATCATCCAATCGAACGACTATTTCGGTAACCTATCGTCTCGTACGAGTACTATAACATTCGATGTAGATAGAGTCGTTACCGTTCGTGATGATTACAATCATATAATCTGTATAATATTCTTTGTACCGTACGAAATTCTATCCCCGAGGGAACAGACGATTTCACGTATGTGCGTGCGATACGTATATATGTATATATAAATATTATTATTATCAATTTTATGTTGTATACAATTTTTAATATTCTTTTAAATGTTTTTTTTTTTTTTTTTTTTTTTTTTACCTACGTCTTTAGGAGAGATCAATACAATTTATTATATAATCCTGTGAATTTTTCGATTGTGTACGCCCATTGCAGTGTACGGTCGACTATTATAAAATAATATTCGAATTAATTAAGCTTTTCCCCGTAACATATCGACGATGTAACGCGTGGCATGTTTTCGACACGAGTGAGTACATAATATATAATTATGTGTTTGTATACGAAAAGTTGCCATATTGATAGTATAATGATACACATAGGAATAAAATATAATATCATTCACGTATGTAATATATTATCCGTCCAATTATATTATTATTTTGTATTTTATTATTTACCTATATATTTATAGACATATATTACATATATTTTAATATACGAACATGTTCCTTCGGTCGACCGTTTTACATTCTTTTCGCGCACGCTTGTCGGACTCGCGATCAATTTGGCTGCATCATATTATATTATAATTTCGTTTAAACAACTGTTACGAAAAATATAAATATACCTTACAATAGGTTAACATAGATTAGTTAACAGCCGTATCGTGGTCTCGCCGAAGCTAAAACGCTTGTGAAATCTAAAATTTATACTCGTTTGTAATTATTATATTATTATTATTATTATTATTATTATTATTATTATTATTATTATTATTATCATTATGATATTATATTAACATTTTTGTAGTTGTGCTCAAGAATATTATTTTTTAATATTTTATTTTTATTAATTATTATTATTATTTTTATATGAGTGATCTGATTTGTTTCAATGTATGATGTATCAAAATAATTTTGAATACGCATAGAATAATACATATTATTATTTTATGTATTAAACTATTGATGTTGGATGAAATATTTTACTGTACACTCGATATTAATATTAAATTAGTATAATATGTATTAATTGTTCGATTTAAAATAAAAAATAAAATGTATTTACATAGCTACAGATAATGTTATGTAATCTATGCCCATTAAATTCAAATACCACTCATTCGTTGATTGCTACATCTCAAATACAACAAAAATATAAAATTAAAATTTAACATAACGGTTCTTCTAATTCTCTAGATGCACAATAAAAAGTGATTTTTTGTAAATCAGGTTGAAATAGTTTAAGGTTAGATATATTTATCTTTTCATTTATAAGTTACCTAAAAAATATTAAATTAAATTTTATATAATGATTTTTACAGTTGCTGATTGGAATATATGTCAATTAATATAACATAAATAAATATTATAAATATTAACAAAATATATATAATATAATAATAACTTCTTATAAAATTAAAATATATTCGACGGTGGTTGTGCACTTTTTATACCAAATTTTTTAATTTTTTTTACATACATCGTAATAGTAATTGCTCTTAAATGGAAATATGCTCTGAAATCGTAAAATATTCCCTGGATAAGTCCAGGTAATTCGGTCATTAATATTAAATAGTTATTGCCTTTTTATTATTATAATCGTATTATTGAACGTTTTCAATCGTCTTATAGTTTCGCGGCTCATTGGTTTCCTTGGTTTTGTTTTTATTGTTATTGTTATTTATTTATTATTTAATAATTTTTTTCTGGTATCGATTTCTACTTATTTTTTCATAACTGCCAATGATGTCAGATACGAGTAATGCTAATAAACTCGAAGAACTCGACAAAATGAAGGTTAATTATTTGAAGAAAGAATTGAAAGCAAGAGGTTTGCGTACAGTTGGAAATAAACAAGAACTCATTGATCGTATGATTAATCATTCAGAATCCTCAGTTTTAGATATCGAGGATACCGTGCTGGATGAGCACAACATTCTAGATGAAGATGATGCTCTAAAGGATGATTTTGGCTATTCGGACATTGATAATTCAAAAGTTTTAGAAGATAGTGCAGAGAAAGAAGAAATCAATGTTGGCAATGGCATCATTCATGAAGAAAAGGATGTTCAACTGGTAATTCAACCTAAAAAGGTAACATTAAAACGTTCTTCTGTAACTGTGTTAAATAGTGAAGATAATAAAGCTAAAGAAGAAGAGAAAGTTAATGAAGAAATTGATGAATCAATTAATAAGGACCGCATTATTAAGTTAGATGAAGTTAAAACAATGAGTCAAACTGAGAGAATAATAATGAGAGCTAAAAATTTTGGAAATGAAGTGTCAGAGGACAAAAAATTGGCTCGATTAATTAAATTTGGTGCTGTAACTGATCAAAAACCAATAGCCAATGCTGATAATTATAAATTGAAAATGAGAGCCGAGAGATTTGGTGAAACAGTTTCTAAAATTTTACATAATATTGAAAAAGAAGACAAACTTAAAGCTCGTGAACTTCAATTTGGTTCTATTGATAAAACGGTGTTTACTGCTATTAAAAAGCGTAACAATGGAAATGTAGGAAAACAAAAAAATACTCAAGGTTGTAAGAGAAATTTCCCATACAAAAAACGGTATTAATAATTTTTTTCTTCTGTGTAATATATCTACAAATAAAATGTATATTTAATTTTTTCTTATATTATTTCCATTATAATCAACAATTTTCTTCTCTAATTTTTTTTTTACCTTAATTATAACGTAATTAGTAGTAACAGTACTTTATACCATCAATTAATTTAAAGGGAATCGTACATTCCTTAAACCATCTGAATATATTTTATTTAATTACTATTATCATGTCATCAACATCAATGAAATGTGTTTTGAGTACTTTGAATTTAGTAAAATAAAATTATACTTATATAATAATAGCAATGTATAAAATGTATACAAACGATAGAACTTATACATGTTAGTATTGTATTTTATAAGTAATTTCACACATAAAAGCCCGTAAGTCATTTTATTCTGTGTGCCTATGAAATATTACAAAATGTACATACAATTATATAATAAATCCATATACTATGCACATGGTGTTTGTGTTGGAAATATTTATTCGCAATGTTTCACTTGAAAAAAAATGTATTTTTTCAATGAATTCTCTTCTGGCGGTTCATAAATACTACAACTTTGAACAGTTGTAAACATTATCGTTGATTTCTCAACTTTCGTAGCATTTATAGTACACACAAAAACGTAGTTGTAATAATTTTTTTTTTTTTTATTTAAAATATGTATTCGTAATGTTCACTGTTCTTGTATAATACAAGTTGTATTCTACATATGTGGTCACCGTGAAATCTCTTGGTACATACATTAAGTATTTATTTTTCAAGAAAATTTCATCAATCTTTAAAATGTGCTTCCGAACGTAAGTATGGTGGGATTGCTAGCGACCGAATTCTTATTACGATTTTTTTTATGATATTCAGTCCATATCACTCAAATGCTGCATATAAATGGTAAACGCACAGATGAGTCAAAAAACAATTACAAAGTTCATTTACATTAAACGATCGTCTATTTGTACTGCGATTAAATAAATTATAATGTTTTACGAATATTTTAATAATCAAAGTAAATGACACAAAACACAGATACATTACGAAACACATGAAGTCTATGAAAATATATTATATATATATATCTGAAAGGTTCTCCGTGTTTTTGCGTCGGTTTTCTTGCATCACGAAACCGAAGAACGTTCGTCGTGGATTCCTTTGCATAGCTTAAATACGGTATTTTGACCCGTCTCGTTTGCATGGTAATGATCGACCGAAAAAACGCTTACTCGTCGTTTTGCCGTGCGTGGAAATAGTTCGTGTTTTCGGTCAGACGAGGGTGGCCTCCGACCGTGGTGTACGAAAAACGGTTAACCGGCCGAATTGAACTGTAGCAATATACATTTGGAAATCGAACGGTGACGTTTGATTCAGTTTCGATGTTTATCACTCCTTTACTCCCTTATCGCTAAGTGCCGTTTACGGTATACAAAACGCAATATGTGTACACGGGTGGATCTATAAACGAAATGGGGAGGAGTACGATGACGTAAAAGTTAACTACAACGTAATAATACGTGTTGAACGTAGTCGGTTCGGTGAATATAATATTATGCATGATGTACGTGGTGCAATAATAATCAATTTACGAATACACGCTTTGATTGAATACATTATATTATACGAGCAAAAATACAAAGCAGTTCTACTGCGATAATTATAGTACATTGAAATAGATGTATTCAATAACAGGAATAACGGCCGCCGGTTTATGAAACCGAAAAATTGCAAGCACCTGTGAGATGAGTTTTTCACCAACCCCGTTTAGCCCCGATGAATCTACCCGTACACGTGTAAACGCTGTTAATGAAAGGAGGAGTGATTTTACCCCCGAAAAAAAAAAAAAAAAAAATGGTAAAAAAATAATAACAATGATTAGAGTATTAATGCGCTAGGTAGTTGGGCGATGACGGACCGCACGTGTACCGGTATGGCGTAGGAAAGAGAAGGGGTTGAGCGTTCAACACCCCTTCCGATTGCCTTCGGCCTGACCTGGAGTTTGTAAATAAACAGGTGATAATAAAAATAAACGCTACCTAATCACGTCAAACCCTCCAACCCCTGCCGACAAAATCGATCCATACAGCATCGGAAATCCGACTGAAACAGACGACTGGCTTTCGATCGGGCACCACCGTCGCGGCGCACACAATCGTTACACGGTACGTTTTAAGTTTACTGAACCCGGCGGTGGTGCGGCGAGTGCGTGAAATTACCACCCCCAACCACCCCGGGTAGACCGGCAGTTATCGGGCGGCGGCGGCGGCCAACGAGTCGATATATGCACCACACGGCCGCCCGGTGTCGCGGGTCGACAGCCAATGACGTCACGCGCTCGAACAATGACGTCACGCGGACGAAATCGTGTAACAGATTAATCTGCGGCGCCCGAGGTCTATTGCGTGTTCGCGCCGCGTCCGCGAACCCGTCGGCTATTGACGTTTACGATAATCGCGGTGGCGGTTTTCGCGTCCTCGCGATCGCTTACAATCACGGGGATACGGTTTTACGATGCCGGAGACCACTGGCCTGATTATCATTTACCGGTTACAATACATGTTGTATCATAAAGCTTTATTGCTTTTTAATATTATAAAATCGCCCGTTTATTTTTAATTTTAAATTTTTTCTACATTCTTACGCGCTTCGTCAAATAGGTATAATCTGTACGATTATACAAATCCGAAACCTTTGTAATGAAGCGACTCTATAATTTTCTGCAAAGCGTACCGCGTTGCAATACCCCGGGCATCCGTATCATTTATAATTGCATTCATGAATATTATAACCGTACTGCTTTAACGATGATTACGCGTCCATTGCTTCGACAACGGTAACGCGTCGTTTTCCTGTCGTTGCATTAGACGTG